CCTTGAGCACTTTTAGTTGCTTTCTCAATATGCTAGGTCCTTTTCTTCATGGAAAATGTCAGAAAGATTATTTTTTAGAATAAAAATAAGTAGATTGCCTTGGGGTTTTGGGGGGAGGTATTTTGCAGTTGATACAGTCATTAGAATGTATGTATTGGTGGTAGTGTTTGTCCCTCCACCTTCCTTTCCCCACATAGAAATGTTTGTGTGCGTGTTTGAAAAAGGGGATGATCCTTTCTTAAGGTCCAGAGTCCTTCTTTCATCTTAGTTGCATGCTAATGGGCTGTAGCTCCCCTTTCCTCCATTTCTCTCCCCGATAGAAATGTGTGCATGTGTTTGAAAAAAGGGAGGGGGCATATGGGCTCTGGAAGATAAACAATGAAGTCCAGGAAATAAAATTTGCAAATAAGTCCATTAGCAACACAGTGAGAAACCTTCCCTTGCTTAGGATACTTTCTTCTCTTCCCCCTACCCAGTAGAACAGTGGACCTAATACCAAGAAGTAGGCATGGGGGGTGCTAGGGTTGTCACCCAAGAGGAAAGGGGGCAGTAGCCTGAAAAAGTTTGAGGACTACTGCAATTTGTAGCATATAAAATAGAGACGGGGATCTGAAAACAATTTAGTTATTGAATTAGAGTTATCAATGTTTTTTTGCCGCGGGGCTGCTACATCTTTAATGACTACAGAACAACGGCAAATTTGACCAGTGGTTCCCCACCACCACCAATTTCTCCATCTCTGTCCTGGAAAAAGTTTTACCTGCTGAATTTCTGTTTGTTGTGCAGCTCATAAAAGACAGAAAGCTTGACAGGGGGAAAGATGACAACCCTCAAAGCAGCAATGGTGAAGGTGTTTCAGGAATCCACTTTCTTAAGAGTTTTAAAGGCAGAGATAAAAGTGAAAGTTAGTGTGTGGAGGTATATTTAAAGGAAGAAAGTGACAGCATGCATATCTTCCTTAGTTGTCCCATATATGTTCCTACTGGTAGGCACTAGTGTAGGAGCCATAACAGTAAGTAAGCCTTACTTCATATGCCATCTGACTCTGCTATCCTATCATGTGGCAGTCAAAGGCATTACTCCTTCCCTTGCCAGAATTTGGGAAAGTATTTTCTTGACATGCTCTAGTAAGGACCTGCCAAATGTCCACCTTGGCTAGGGCATTCTGGGAGCTGGATAAAATAGATTTATTTTGGTCACAGACCAGGATAATTCTGTATGAAAGTAACCTTTCCAAGCATTGTTCCTTGCCTGGCCCATTTGTTGAAGATTACACTGTGGTCCAGAACACAATGTAGAAATAATCCAGTTTGAGACTGCTTTACCTGCTCTGGCCTGCTAGGGAATCCTAGGAATTGTAGTTTGTTGTGGCACCAGAGCTCTCTGACAGATGTGGTCAAATGTCTCACAAAACTACAGCTCCCAGAATTTCCTAGCACTGAGCCAGGGCAGTTAAAGTAATCTCAAACTGGATCATTTCTGCAGTGTGTTTTGAACCTATATATAGCAAGAATGGGATATTTGCAAGCTTCCAGTTGTGCTGGTCTGCAGCTGCCATCCTCTCTTACTGTTAGCTATTCTGCTAAGGACTGAACGGAGTTGTGGTTAAACAATATCTAAAAGACCATGCATCCTCCACCTCTGGTATACCATCTGGGCTGCCATTGTACCACGTCTGTGCATCTTCCAATATACCGTTGGCCCTAAGGAAAGTGGGTGTAATGACAACTCAGTGTCTGGAGATGATTAAACATTTGTATACACCAGATCCCATCTGATCTTGAAAGCTAAGCATGCTGAGCCCTGCTTAGTACCTAGATGGAGGATCACCAATGAATATCAGGTGCTGTAGACTATATTTCAGGGGAAGTAACTGGTAAAACTTCCTTGTGATGTATTCCTTGCATAAAAAAAATGCTATGAAATTTGTTGGGTCACCATAAGTCGACAGGTGATTTGAAGGCACATACATGCACATACTCGAGTTATGAGTAGATGAGTGCTCACATAACAAGATAGGAGTTGACATGCTCCCATCTACACAATTGTGTATTGATCTGTCAGCCAAGAGATGAAATTCTGCACTGGATCAGAATTCTCTTTGGGCAACTACCACTTACTGAGTTTCCTGTTAAAAGCATTCCTAAGAACAGTGTTCAGCAGGTGAAAGACACATGCCTTTCTTTCTTCACAGCTTCACATTGGATGGTAGGTAGATCAAATGAAGGCAGAAGGCATGGAGGGAAAAGTGGGGAGGAAGCAGGGAAAATGTCAGAGGGGAGCATCTACCAAATGAATAGAAGCCCTGGGCCAAGTGTCCTGGGAGGACTGCATGACTAACGTTTGCCAAGGCTTGAAATGAGATGGTTTGCTCTGAAACAAACTCTTTGTACATTGTTGAAAGTGTTGAACCAGTCAGAATGGGCAATGGATCTGATGAGGATGAGGTGGTGCTGATAGACTGGTACAGCCTTGCAGCATTGCCAGGGTGTGTGTGTAACGCTGATAAGGAACAAGGGATATTGTCTGGCAATTAGGCTTGGCTTATAAGCTCTGGTTCAGAACATATACTGGTTTACATTCATAATATATTGCTTGTAATTGCCCATTTCCAGTTCTTTCCTCTCTGCATCCTGCAAATGCTGAGCACAAAACCAACCAAAGGAAAACTGAGGTGCACTTTCATTACACAGTCATATCAGTTTGGTGCCACTTTAACGGCCATGGCTCCCTCCATAAAATCCTGGGATTTGTAGTTTAGTGAGGTACTTAGAATTAACTGCTGACAAGCTAAACTGCAATTTCCAGGGCAAACAGAGAGTACCCTGAGAACGAAGGCTGAGAGTACCTTGAGTACTTTACAGGGTGTCTTCGGTGTGCATTAGAGCAGTGGCTCTCTAACTCTGGACTTCAGTGGTCTCAGGCATCTTGACCAATAAATAGGCAGGGATTCTGAAGTCCCAATATCTAGAAGACTAAAGATTGAAAGCAACTATACCAGAACTCTCTAGCAGAGGAGTCTTAACTACCTTGCTAAAATAGAAATACCATGATTCCTATGGATGAAATCATGACAGTTAAAGGGGTAACAAATGAATATAATCTTGTAGCATAGACTTGATCAGAGAAGGAATGGGTTTAGGCTTGCAGGACCTGAGCAGAGAGGTTGAGGAGAGGAAGGTTTGGAGATGTCTCCTCTACCAGGTCACCATCAGTCAAAGTTGACTGAGGGCAGTGAACAACAAGAAGCATAGAGACCTCTCCAGTTTCAGCTTAGTGAGCAAGTGCATGGATGCAGTTATCTTCATGTGTGCGTGCATGAAGCATGCCAGCTTTATCTACCTTCTATTTAAAGTCATAATGAGAGGAACAGGTAAGATGTACTTTGGACATTTTAGTCAGGCACAGTGCAGCGTGGAGAGACTCAATTACTCAAGGATACCAGTATGGCAGGCTCCCCAGAGATCCAGATCACGCGAACCAGGTGCATTTTTGCTTTCATCTAAGCTATGAACTGGCCAGCTGATTTGTATTAGGAGAGGCATGTTCTGGGGTTCAGAGTTGCAACATTTGAAGTTAATGGGCAACTGTGGCCCTCTAAACATTTTTTGGACACAGCTCTCATCAACACCAGCTGATAATGGTGATGGATTATAGGAATTGCAGTAAAAAAAAAAAAATCTGGAGGACCTCAGTTGCCCATCTCTGCTGTAAGCATTCTCTACTCTCTTTACCCCCCCAAAAAAAATCTTCCAGGATTTTAAATACTGCTTGAAGGTTTGAGAAAAATTGTTTTAAGCTGTTGTGGTTTTCTTTTTTTGCGCAAGTCTTATACTGCATTGAATTGCTTGCTTATTGTTGTTTGTTCTTTTATACCATAATAGGCATTGGAGTATGAAACAGGTGGGAATCCTGTAGTCTTCTAGATGTTATTTTTTCCCCTGCTTTTAATTAGTATTTTATATGGTTATTCATTTTATATTGTTACTGTATTTAATTTGCTTCTTTTTTATGATTGGGAAGGGGTTGGGGTAGGGGATTATTTAGAAATATGGATTTTAATTGTATATTGTATTTTATTGTTGTTCTTATTTGTTGTATCCCGCCTCGATCCATAGGGAGAGGCAGGCTATAAATAATAATAATAATAATAATAATTTTGAATTGCAATCCCCAGAATTCTTTCCCATTGGATTTGCTAGATGGGACTGCTGGGACTTACAGATATTGTTATATCTGCAGGGCTGTCTGATTCTGCCCTTGGTCTATACCGGGGTAGGCAACCTTTCCCCTGGTCTATACCTTAGAAATAAATAAGTAGAGAGGTAGCTCATTTTAGTCACAGTGAAACACAACAAAGAGTCTCATAGCACCTTGAAGACTAATGAATTTAATGTACTAAAGCTTACTTTATTAAAAGCAAACATGAAAACAACAAATGTCTTAGTCTTTTAAGTCACCAAGATTTGGTTTTCAGTCTTGGTAAGGTTTGGCAGCTCTTGGAAAGAGAGAAGAAATTTCCAGAACTAGGATAATAGGTTTTTTGGGGGAAGGGAGGGTAAACAAAAAGATTATGAAGTTGTGGGTCAATTTAAAGTGGTGGTTTGATCCTTTAAATGGGGAGTGAGGAGGGTGTGGTCCTCCAGATGGTGTTGTATCTCCCTCATTACTAGCTATGCAGAATTACATCCTTCAGCATTTAGAGGGCTGCATGCTTTAATATCTGCATGGCAGACCAATATAGTTCAACAAGTGCAGTATCTCCCATTTCCCTGCCAGGAAAATTCTTTTACTTGTAGAATCTCTGCTTGTAGTGCAACAGCAACAAGTCAGTGTTATATAGTGCAGTGCTTTTCAAGCTATTTGATGTGGGCGACTGGCACAGTGTACCAAGCCCAGCACCATATTTGTGGACTGGCACTGGTGCATGGACCACCACTTAGAGTAGCACTGGTACACTGGAAACATGGCTCAGCCTTGAATATGGAGTGGGTTGGAGAGCCAGCATGGTGTAGTGGTTGAGTGTTGGACTGCAACTCTGGAGACCAGGGTTCGATTTCCCGCTTGGCCATGAAACCTACTGGTGGACCTTGGGCAATCCACATGCTCTTAGCCTCAGGGGAGGGCAATGGCAAACCTCCTCCGAACAAATCTTGCTAAGAAACCCTCATGATAGGGTTGCCATAAGTTGGTAACGATTTGAAGGCACACAACAGCATAATCATCAACAACAAGACTACAATTCAAACAATTGCTTAGCACATAATGATTTAGAAGCAGTTACTGGGGCCATTATTATTATTATTATTATTATTATTATTATTATTATTATTATTATTATACAGTTATGAAGCTGTGATCCCTCTTTAACTCTCTTAGTTCCATCCTATGGGACTGGCATTCTGGGGAGGCACTAGAGCAATATGACAGAGAATTCTTAAATGTCCCACCATAAACTCTCAATCCCAGGATTCTGTAGGATAGAGTCATGACAGTTAAAGTGAAATCATAGCACTATAATTGAGCAGTGTGAATGGGTCCAATTTCACTCTGCTTAACATAGGGATGCTGTAAGGATAAAACAAGGATAATGCCATGTTGATTACTCTGATTTCCTTAGGCGCAAGAATGAGAGATACAAACAGGATAAGCAAAGAGTTAAAGAAACGGGCATCAAAGTCCCTGAGCCTCATGAGCACTGAACATTTCTCAGAAATGAGGCCAGAAGTCTTAGTGGGGGGAGGGTGGGGATATGTAGTATTCCATCAATATTGCTACCGGTCCACAAAAGCATCTTATTTAGCTTGCCCTTAGCTGCCCGTGACCTTGACTAATGACTCAGAGATTCCAGATGGGAAGGCTTACATCAGTCAAGAGCTTCTGTGTACAAAGATACCCCTTTCTCCTCTTTGAGGAAGGATGAGAGAACAATCACTGTCTTTGGCAGCTTAGGGAGCTGGGCAGCATCCAGCACTAGGCTATGTTGTTTTGCATAATTTATAGCATTCATCATTTGATACCCAATTTGGCATCTTTCTATAATCACAAATGGGGATTCCTCTGCAACCGTTGCATTATTGCTAGAACAGAGTTTGTAGATCCTCACTGATGAGAGGGAAGTCACTCTTCCTATGCTCAGGGGTGTCTGTCTTTCTTTATTTCACATATTTCAGGATGCAGTTTCTTGATCCTGGAAACAGATTCTGTGACTGAGTCCGGAGGCAGATTCTATCCTGATAACTGCCATCAGAGCTGAGAGCAAGGCAAAACAGATCTAACTGGGGCCATAGATCTTGTGCTTTATCAAAGGTTGTCATTCAGACACTGGTTTCAGCTGATGTGCCTCATATGCAGGTTCTGTCCCATTAATCAGAGTGAGGCAATTGCCTCAGGGCTGCAGATACTGGGGGGTAGTAGCAAGAGCCCTCTGAGTACAGTATACGTACTGAGACTCCTAGCTGTTTCCTTATCTTGGAGGACACAACTGTGTGAGTCATGTAAAGTATTCTGTACCCTCTAACTAACCTACTATCGAGAAGTTAGTTCGCACCTATTAAAAGTTATGGAGGACTCCAGAACTTGTTTGGTTGTTGTTGCTGTTATGTGCCTTCAAGTTATTTCCGACTTATGGTGACCCATAAGTCATGGGGTTTTCTTTGCAAGTTTCTTCAGAGGGATTTGCGATTGCCATCCTCTGAGGTCAAGAGAGTGTGACTTGCCTAATGTCACCCAGTGGGTTTCCATGACTGAGCTGAGATGTGAACTCTGGTCTCCAGAGTCATAGTATGTGGAGGCCAGATCTCTTACATCTCTCACACTAGATCTTTCAGATCCCCTCACACTGGGTCTCTCGGATCCCACCACGTTGTACCTTTCAGATCCCACCGATTGGCACCGAAATATGTGACCACCACAGGGTTACACGGGATTCTTCTCCTATCTTAGGACAAATAGTTTGAGGCTTCTTTTACATCTCCAACCCGTGGTCCTCCCACTGACTTAAGTCTGTTTATTATTAAGTGTTTTTTACTATTCTTGGTAGCATGTTTTGATGTTAAACACAAATCACTTCAGGCCACTCCTTTGTGAACAAAAAGAAAATAACTTTTATTTATAGAAAGAGCTTATGATAGTATCTCTTTTGGTAATTGGTTCTCAAAGCTTATGGTTACAAAATGTATATTACTTCACTGGTTATAAATAGATTTTGTTTCAGGTGACTCAAGGAATTCAGTTATTCTTCAACTGTGTTTTAGTTCTTTCCACATGCCTTCCACTAAAGCTTATTCAGTAGGAGTATAAAGCCTATGAATCTCTAGCTTTATTCCTAAATTAGAATTCTACAGAATAATGTGGATCTGAGCCTTCCATTCATTGGCTCTCCACTACTCAGAGAATGTATCAATTTAAATTGATTTCACAGGACTTCTTCTATCCTTCCAAAATCCCTCCTCCCTATATGGGAATCTGAATCCCTCTCAAGGCTAAACCCTTAGTACCAATTGCACTCTTGGCTTGACAATTGAAGAAATATAAATTTGAAATTCAAAATGACACTGGAATTATATTTATTAAATATGATGGAGGAAGGATTAGGTAGCGAAAAACAGGAATACTGTATTATATGATT